CACGTGCTCCTTGTTCTGCAGCTTGGTGCGCATGGACACGATAACCTGGCCAATGTGGACCCTGGCTACCTGCCCTGGGGCTTCCCACAGGCACCCCTCATACCCGTCTGGAGCCTGTCAGCTCCAGCACAGGGCAACATCTTGTTGATGTGGACGACGTGGGAAGGGTGGGGCCGCACTCGGATATGAAAGCCGTCTTGCCACAACCTGTCACCACGTGCTTGTTTGCACAAATACGGGCAGCCTCCAGGGCTCCGACGAGAGCTGCTCACATTCCTCAGACACCACGTGGCCACACAGTGGGAAATCATCCACTTTTGCCTTCTTCTGCTCCAGGTCTGGGACACCACGGCAGAAGCGCGACTTTGGGTATGGCTCGTTCTTACAGTACTGGTAACACTGGGCGGGGCGGTGGCCCAGGGCTCACACCACCATCTTCAGTGGCGCACCGGAGGCAGAGAGCTGGACAGGCTGCTTGAAACATGCCAGGCATGTGAGCTTGCATGCGCAAAATCCCAAGAGGAGAAAGGAGGAGAGACTGAGTGTGGCTATGCCCCCGGGGCGGTGATTTCTCACTTTCTGTCCCTCTGTCTCTCTGGCGAGTGCATGCGCCCTAGAGCAAAACATTGCTCTAAATAAATAAATAAATAAGGGGGCCAGCAGGTGGTGTGGTGGTTAAGGTGTTTGGACTCCCACATGGCCAATCATGGTTCAAATTCTGAACCTGGTGGTTTGCTTTCTCACTTTCCTTCTCTTTCCATCTCTCTCTGTCTGGTCAAACTGAATGATAATAATAAATAAATAATTATTTTTAAAAATTATAAAAAAGTTTTTAAAAGACAATGAATTAACAAGATCATATTATATCCCATGTATACAGTTATAATTTGTAATTCAAAAATATTAATACATTTTGGGAACCAGCAGTTAGCGTAATGGCTATGTCGCTGGACTCCCACGTAGTCGACCGCGGTTCGCGTCCCAGACCCGGTGGCTTAAATCTCATGCCGGGCACGTGTGCGTGCATGCGTGCCCAAGATCCCGATTGCGGCGTGACCACCCCCCCTGGGGGGTGATTTCTCGCTTTCTATCTCTATGTCTCTCTCTTTCTGTCTGGCGAGCGCACACTCCCTATAGCAAAAATCTCTCCAAAAAAAAAAAAAAGAAGCCTTTGTCCCCAGCAAATCTGTGAAATGTAAACACCATGGTTTCCATGGCGTCCTCCAGTTGAGATGGCATTTTGGTGATAACTGTTGAAATCTTAGCCAGCAGGTAGGCGCCAATGCTGGGCGAGCCCGCCGGGAGCGGGGCGCAGCGGGCAGGGCGCCTTAGTACAGAAATGAGTCCCTGGCATGTGAGAATTTACAATCTACACAAGTTGGACTCATGGGGTAGAGAGTAGAATGGTCGTCACCAGGGGCCAGGGATGGGGAAAGGGGAGGCACTGGTCAAAAAGAACAAACTTACACTAGACAGGAGGGATAAGGCCTCGTGAAAGCCTTCTGTGAAGGTCAAAGGTCCGAGGGAAACCTGGGCACATCCCCTGCCTGGGTGTGTGACAGGGCATGAGCTCCAGCCCTTGGGGAAGAAGGCAGGCAGAAACTGCTTGGAGAAGACGCAAGCCAAAGACCTGGCCCCGGAAGTGCCTAGTGCGAGAAAGTGGGAAGGTCAGGGAAGATTTTCCCTCTCCTTTCGCTGCTGCCTAAGGGCAGAGGCACGTGACCCCACAAAGGGGCCAAGGCAGGTAGGGAGCAGCTACCTGAGCAGGGAGGAGGGAGACACCAGAGCAGGGAGGAGGGAGACGCCAGAGCCGTCCAGGGCCGGCCAACTGGCCTTGTCAGGGAGCAAAATGCTAGCCATGAGAATGGAAATGAAAACAAATCATAACAATAATAATGAAATAAAACCTTTATAAAAAGGGGGGGTGGCAGGTGGCATGATGGTTAAAGGCACTGGACTCCCACCTGGCTGACCACAATTCAAGTCTTGGACCTGGCAGCTTGCTCTCTCACTCTCTCTCTTTCTCTCTCTCTCTATCTTTTTCAGGTCAAGTTAAAACAAATAATAATAATAAATAAAGTTAAATAAAATCATTATTGGAAAAAAAACAAGACTGGAGACGAACCGTCCCAATTTCTGTGCTGCTTGTCCTCTGCAGCACTTCCTCATGACCGGACTCCCCTGGCTTTCCTAATCCACGATGACTTTGTAGGTGAGGAGGGAGAAGGCAGGCTCAAGCACACAGTGCCGGGCAGCTCTGATTCAGGTGTGCTCACACCCACAGCATTTGCCCCCAGCAAGTGCAGTAGACAAGGCTGTGCCACAGTTTCAAAGCTGGGGCCCACCGGCCTCACGTAGGTGTCTTCCCGAAGCTCTCTCTGCTCCCCTATCTGCCTCCTGCCTCATATTCCGGTCATAGGCATCAGACGTGGCAGGGAAACGAACTCCACACCTCTCATCCTTGGGCCCTTTGAGAGGGTTCTGACCAGAGAAACCAGGCAGGTTGATGTGATCATGGAGCAGCACGGTAGCTCCAGCCTCAAACTTGGTTGAGCCCTCCAGCTGCACTGGTGACCGCAAGGGTATCCACACCCCAAAGCTGGAACAGCCTCACGGGGAATGTCACCTTCCAGGTCGGGTACTCTTCATACATGTGGCAGGTGCCCTGTGTCATCACACAGGCTCTACCATTCAGGAACCCAAGCAGCAGTGGGCCAGCAAGGCCTGGCACTGTCCCTTGGGGCAAGTTAGGTATCTCACTGTGGTCAAAGATCTGGGCCTGGGCCTCTGTTAATTAGAGCTCCTAACCCAGAAGCCCAGACCACAGCACTGTCACTCGAGGTCAGTGCTTAGTGCGAGACAGAAGCCATTCTGCAGTGTACTTACAACCTTCATAGCAACTCCATTCCCCATGGCCCAGCCACTGCCCTCCGCTCTTACCTGCACTGCTCAAGTGAGCAGAGCTGAGCTGCCCTCTGCCAGCCTGGGCAATAGGGCTGTGCGCTCGCCAGAGAGACAGACAGAGAGACAGAGAGCAGGAGATCATCCCCCGGTGGCATGGCCACACTGCAATCCCCTCTCCTCCATTCTCCTCTTGGAATCTTGGGCACGCACGCACACATGCCCGGCGTGTTTCAAGCCTCTGGGTCTGGCCCCTCAAACCGTGGTCAGCCACGTGGGAGTCTAGCAATGTAGACATTATGACATCTGCTGATCCCCCAAAAGTGCTATTTTAATTAGGACTAATTTTAAACACTGAAATTCACATACATTATTCATATTGCTACATCTCAAATAGGAATGAGGTAATTAACTGAAAAAAAAAAAAGATCCAGTGGAGCCAGCATGGTGGTTAGGGTGTTGGACTCACACATGGCATGCAAATGCACGCGTGCCCAACATCCCAACAGGAGAGAAAAAAGGAGAAGGGATTGTGGCTTGAGCATGCATCCCTGGAGGGCTTTTTCTCTTTCTCTGACAAGTGTATAAGCCCTTTAGAAATTAACACACACACACACACACACACACACACACACAGATGAAGAACACACAGCTATTAAGTGGTAGAGCTGGGTTTTGAACCTGTGTTTCTGACTTTAAAGCTCCTCCTAGATCCATGACACCAAGGGAACAGACTAGTCTTTTAACTATTCCTCCAAGCAGGACTGGGCAGGGGATAACGTTTCCTGATTTCCATTCCACCCCATCTTCCATCAAGGGGCACTTCGTGCATTTTGTAGTCTGTAAGCCACAGTTTAACAATCGAGCACACAATATCTCCCCTCATTAACTAATTGTTTTTTGTTTGTTTGTTTGTTTTTTGGAGAGGTTTTCGCTATAGGGCGCTTGCACTCACCAGACAGACAGAGAGAGACAGAAAGACAGAAAGCTGGAAATCACCCCCCAGGGGGATGGTCACACTGCAATCCCTTCTCCTCCATTCTCCTCTCAGGATCTTGGGCACGCACGTACACGCGCCCAGCGTGAGTTTTAAGCCACCGGGTCCGGAACGCGAGCCGTGGTCGACTACATGGGAGTCCAGCGACATAGCCATTACCCTAACTGCTGGTTCCCAACTAATTGTTTTATTTACACCAGATTCTACGTGATTGGCAACATCCTCTTTTTCCCAGGCAAATCAATGTCATAAATACTGACCTTCTTGAGCCTCACTTTCCTTTTCCTCGGAATGCAGTAATTTACAAACCTGTTGTGCCGCAATCCCTTCTCCTCCATTCTCCTCTTAGGATCTTGGGCACGCGCACACACACGCGCCCGGCGTGAGTTTAAGCCACCGGGCCCAGGACTCGAACCGCGGTCGACTGCATGGGAGTCCAGAGACATAGCCATGACGCTAACTGCTGGTCCCTTGGCTCAGTTCTTGTTGGGGAATGACATAACAATCTTGGATCGGGTGTATTTATTTTAACAGGCAGCGTTTCTCCCTTTCTAATCCCCAAAGGTCTGCATCCAATGTCTAGGATTCCTCGCGCAGGATCCCTCTCAGCTGCGCTTATTCCCTCCTACAGTTGAGAAGGTGCGGTCAGTCGCTGGTAAACCGCAGACCTGCCAAGACGCCTACCTAGGTCTTAGACACAGGGGCCTGGACTCCTTCAGCCTCGACAAGGCACCTTTCCCATTCTACTGAAATTAACCAATGGGAGGGGCCTATGAGGAGAACAAGGCCCCTTACCTTGGCATTTCTCCTTTGTCCGCGCGCTCTACCCCTTTTGCTTCTGGGGAAGAGTTACGGAGTTTCCCCTGAATTCACAGCACTTTTGCTTTGAGGCGGTCCGGTCCCTTTAAGGGCTAGGATGACGTAATGACTAGTCCCGCCTCCTTCCGTCCCCTCTTCTTGCTGTCCTAAGCCCGCCCAATTTGATGTTCTCCACCAATTAGCGCCCCAAGCCAGGTCTGCGCCTCATCCGGGTTCCTGGGAACGTGGCCTCGTAACCAGGCAACCACTGACCCAACCCCTCGGGACGGATTTGCAGGTCCTTTTAGTCGCAGCGCCCCTTCAACGGTTGCAAGCGCAGTAGTCTAGTGCCCCGCCCACCCGTTGCCATAACAGCAGTACACAACCGCTGCTTCCCCTTGCCCCTCTTCCAGAACAATCCTTCCCTCTCAGGGCAAGGCTCCTGGACTGCTTCTAGTTGGGCTGGACCAGGGTCTGCGACCCTTTGCAAAGGGGGATTGAGTAGGAGGGCTGCACGTCAGGCTTGTGTCCTGGGGGGCGTGCAGGGAAATGGGGCTAGGTAGGGAGGGAGAATTAGGAGAATTAATCCAGGAGGGTTTATGCACCAAAGACGGGAGGAAAAGGGAGCCCAGAAACAGGAGGAAAGCTGCAAGAGAGACACAGGGGGCAGACCGACATGGGAGGGCTCTGGACTCCTCTCTGATACTTGGGCACACCGAGGCTGGGGGTGGATTGTGGGGTGAACACCCTGTCATGGGTGCTTTTTTACCCTGTCTCATTTGCTCACTCATGGAATACACAAAACATAGAAAAGGGAGTGGGTGGGGGGGTTGAGGCAGCTGGATCCCACCTAGTCAGTTGAGAGGTTCAAGTCCAGCCCTTTGAAAAACACACTGGGCACATGCGTGTGCATGCCCAGAATCTCGGGAGGAGAAATGAGCAGGGACTGGGGAGTGGGCATCTCTCTCTTTCTCTCTTTCTCTCTTTCTCTCTCTCTCTCTCTCTCTCTCTCTCTCTCGGCAAGCACGCAGGGTCAGCACACAAGGTGCCTTATAGCAAACTAAACAATGAAAAGGGGGTGGCGAGAATCAAGCAGTGGGTCCAGGAAGCAGGAGGCTAAGCTACTGGAGGAGAACGGGAGCCGTGGGAAGGGCAGGGAAGCCTTGGGTCTGGGAAGGCATCCTGAAGGGAGAGGGGTCCCTGGCAGCAGTATGGCGTGGAGGCTGGGAGTGGCAGGAGAGGTCACAGGGACGAGGACACAAGCACAGTGGGGAGGCGAGGGGTGATGGGGTGAATGGAGCCGAGGGAGCTGAGGGCTATGAGGAGCTGGGAGGAGGGCTGAGCTTGATCTGACTCCAGGACTGTCCATTGCGAAGACAGATGTCAGATGAAGAAGACCCGGAAGACTTTGAACCAGACCAGGATGATTTTGAGAAAGAAGATGACGAGAAGGAGACAGAGGAGTCGGAGGACTTCAGGAAAGAGGGGGAAGACGGGCCAGAGGAAGTGAGAGCCTGGAAAGGGACGGGCCATTGGGCTAGGGGACAGGGCTGGGCTGGAAGGGGGTGCCTCACTGCCTTTCCTCCAGCAGTGGATGTCCACTCCCCTCACGGAGGACATGATGAAAGAAGGCCTTTCCCTGCTCTGCAAGACGGGCAGCGGACTGGCCCATGCTTACGTCAAGCTGGAGCTTAGAGAGAGGTGCGTTTAGGGGGACCGGATGTGCTCCATGGGGTCCTAGGGCCCGTCTCATTTTCTACTCTTTCCTGGGTGTTTGGGCTGAGAGCTGGGGTCTCATCCAGGCCAAGTGGGGAGGAAAGGATAGAACTGACTTTTTAGGAGCTCTGAGGCTACCCGTGCTAGAGCTGACCTGGGGAATTAGAGACGGGGGTGCTGGGAGGAATCCTGACGGGCTCTACTGTTCCCCAGAGTGTGGGTCTCTGCTCTTCACTGACACAGTCCACCTACCAGGGGGCGGGCAGAGGGCGGAGCAGTTATGTCACTGGACTACCACATGACCAGCTGCAGTTTGAGTCCTGGACCCAGTTGTTGAAACTCACCAGGCGTGTGTGTGTGTATGTGTGTGTGTGTGTGTGTAGTCATCCTCCCTGGGGGGTGATTTCTTACTTTCCTTCTCATCATCTCTGTCTGTCTCTCTTGGGTGAGCCCACATGCCCTAAGGCAAAACCCTTTACTCAGAAAAATCAAAAAAGAAATTCACTTACTGGGTTAGCAGGTAGCGTGGTGGTTAAGGTGCTGGATCCCATACGCTGCGGTTTGAGTCCTGGACCCGGCAGCTCAATAAGCACACTGGGTGCATGTGTGTGTGTGTCCAAATCTCAAGAGGAGAACGGAGGGGCAGGGACTGTGGCATGCCCATCCCCCAGGTGGTGATTTCTCACTTTCCCTCTGTCTCTGTCTCTCTCCAAGGGAGCACACTAGCCCTATGGCAAAAGAAAAACAAACTCCTTTCTTCTCCCTGTCCTTGCTCCTCCCGTCTGTCACTCAGTTCTCTCCATTCTGAGCTGTCCCCACACTGCCTCACAGGGCCTTCCGCATTAGCACCTCTGCCAGTCCTTGCTGGGTCCTCCGCCTAACCCCATCCCGCCTCTGCCACCCCCTAGGGACCTGACAGACATATACTTACTGCGCTCCTACATCCATCTGCGTTATGTGGATGTTTCTGAGAACCACCTGACAGACCTGTGGCCTCTCAATCACCTCACCCACCTGCTCTGGCTCAAGGCTGACGGCAATCGGCTGAAGAGTGCCCAGCTGAATGAGCTGCCCTACCTGCAGATCGCCAGTTTTGCCTATAACCAGATCACTGACACTGAGGGCATCTCTCATCCTCGTCTGGGAAGCCTGGATCTCAAAGGTGGGTCCTTAGGGTGGGCTCCGCCACATTGTTCTTCCCTTCCTGGCCTGGGGCCCACGGAAGTGGGCAGTGTGGTTCTAGGCTGTGCTTTCATTCATTCAGGCACCATGATTCATTATGGCATTCGTTACGACAGTTGTACACGCTGGAGACAGCAGCGGGCAGGACAGAGGCAATCCCTGTTCTTAGGAGATTGCGTTCTAGTAGGAGAGAACCAGTAATGAGCACGAAAAGTAAACTTCAGTCGTTTACTTACTTAGTTTTTGTTTTAAAGAATTATTTATTTGGGGGGCCAGCAGTTGGCGTAATGGCAATGTCGCTGGACTCCCATGTAGTCAACGGCTGTTCGAGTCCCGGACCCAGTGACTTAAACTCATGCCGGGCGTGTGTGCGGTCGTGCCCAAGATCCCGAGAGGAAAATGGAGGAGAAGGGATTGCGGTGTGGCCATCCCCCTGGGGAGGTGATTTCTCTCTCTCTCTCTTTGGTGAACACACGCGCCCTATAGCAAAAACCTCTCAAAAAAAAAAAATATTTATTTATTTATTTTAAAACAGTTTTTTGCGATAGGGCCTGTGTGCTTGCTGGAGAGAGAGAGAGCTATAGGAAGACAGAAAGCAAGAAGTCACTACCCAGGGGGGATGGCCGTGCCACAATCCCTTCTCCTTAATTCTCCTCTCAGGATTTTGGGCACACATGCACATGTGCCTGGCATGACTTTTAAGCTGCTGGCCGGGGACTTGAACCATGGTCAGCCATGTGGGAGTCCAGTGATGTAATCATTATGCCATCTGCTGGTCCCTATTTATTTAATTTTATTTATTCTTTTTGTAATATATGTTACATTTTATTTTTTATTATTATTTTTCTATTTGCTATAGAGCATGTACGCTCACTAGAGAGAGAGAGAGAAAGCAAACCGCTGAGTCTGAGACTCAGACTGTGGTCCGCCATGTGGTAGTCCAGAACCATAACCACCATGACACCTGCTGGCCCTTATCATTTTTTAATTTGCTAGAGAACACCTGTGCTCACCATAGACCAAGAGAGAGAGAGAGAGCAAGCCACCCATCCAGGACTTGAACCACAGTTGGCCATGTGGGAGTCCAGCACCTTAACCACCGCACCACCTGCCAGCCCCCATTATCTGTTAAAAGGAAACAAATGCCATGGGAAAATGAGTCAGGGTGAGAGGGATGGGGGGGCTCGGGTGGCAATTTCCAACAGGTTGGTTGGGACAGACATCACTGAGAAGCTGACACTGGGGCAGAGACTTGAAGGTGGAGAGGGAGTTAGACTCGTGGATTGCTCGAGGAGCACTCTATTCACTCTCAAAAGCTTTGTTGGACATATTCCTCCAGTTCTTGGACTACCAGATCACTTTTCCCAGGCCCCCGGAGGTGTTAAGTCTGGAGCTGTCCCTCCTTGTTGACCCTGCATTGGAGGGAGAGGATGATTGAGAGGCTCCCCAAATCCAGGCTCTGCTGCTGCACATTTGGGGTTGCTCTTTGACCTCTTGACACCCTCCTCCTCCTCAGGAAACCGCATTCGTATGGTGACAGGTCTGGACCCCCAAAAGCTGAACAGCCTGCACACGCTGGAGCTTCGGGGAAACCAGCTGGAAAGCACCCTGGGGATCAACCTTCCTAAGCTGAAGAACCTCTACCTGGTAGCTCACTGGGGCACAGGGTGGGCCAGGGAAGAGGGCACTGTCCTGGGGTCAGGATGCCCGGTTTCTAGTAGGCCTGGCTGCTGACCTCATCATATAACTGTCATCATTTACTGGGTCCTTGCGTGGTGCTCAATGTTGTGGAGACGCAAAGTTAAAACGGACAAGGTGCTTGGGGCTGGCAGGTGGCGTGGTGGTTAAGGGTGCTGGACTCCCATGTGGCTGACCTGTGGTTCGAGTCCCGGACCTGGTGGCTTACTTTCTTACTTTCCCTTTCTCTCTCACTGTCTCCCTCTGCTCAAATTAAAGTAAGTAAGTAAGTAAGTAAGTAAGTAAGTAAGTAAGTAAATAAATAAATAAATAAATGACTTCTCCAAAAAAACAACAACAACAACAAAAAAAAAACAAAAGACAAGGTGCTTAACCTAGCAGGGCCAACAGGGTGTGACAGGGCCTACTCCGATAGGGCGTACTAGACAGGGCGTACTAGGTGGCTGATACAGAGAGAATTGCCCCCATACAGGCAGCAGCGACAGTGCATAACTGATGTTTGGACAGCGAAGGAGCTGCGTGAATGTTTAGTCCTTAGGCTCATGAGCTGCTTCACTCCAGGATGGTGCTGAAGCCACTGCTCGGTGGAGGATGGGGGCTCCTGGGCCTGGGGGTGAGTTGAAGAATCTTCTTAATCAGAGGTGGCCTTAGAGGGGTGAGTAGTCACGATTCCTGCCTACCTTTTGTGGCAGTTTCTCCTGGACTTCTAAACTCTCTCCGCTGATTTCCACCCACCTCTCCTCCCCTTCTCCAGCCCTCCTTCTCTACCTTGGATTCTCTTTGGTTTCATTTCTCTCTTTTTTTTTTTTTTTTTTTAAGGTTTTTGTCACAGGGCTTGTGTGTATGCCAGAGAGACAGAGAGAGGGAAAGTGAGAAATCACCCCGGGGGCAAGCCCGTGCCACAGTCCTTTCTCCTTCATTCTCCTCTTGGGACTTTGGGCACACACAGGCATGCTCCCAGTGTCATCTTCAAGTTACCAGGTCTGGGACTCGAACTGTGGTCAACCATGTGGGAGTCCAGTGCCCTAACTACCACGCCACCAGCTAGCCCCATCTCTTTTTAAAGGTTTTAAATTAGAGATTGAGAAACAGAGAAAGGAAGGCGGGTACTCTCGATCTGGTCTCGCCATGCTGCGATCCTGCCCCAGCCTTCCCAGCCAGCCAGCTCGTACGCACGTGCCCTTGGATGCGCCCGGCACACTCAGGCCCACCTGGGATCTGAACCTGAGCCTCCGACGTGACTCTAGTATTGCACAGCGACACCCCGCTGCCTGCACCATGGCTGGACCGTGCTTCATCTCGTCCTGACTTCTCTTTCTTTCCTGGCCCTGCTCCCTCTCAGTCACTCTCCTGTGCTCCCGGGTCTAGGCCCAGAACGCACTGAAGAAGGTCGAAGGCTTGGAGAACCTAAGCAATCTCATCACCTTGCATCTTCGTGACAACCAAATCGAAACTCTGGACGGCTTCTCCAGAGAAATGAAAGCACTGCAGTACCTCAACCTGAGGTGTGGACCCCCACCACCCCCACCTGGCCCTCTCCCAGCCGGGAGCAGACCCCGTTCCCACATTCCTCGTCCACAGCCAGATCCTCACCCCCTCCTCCCTGACCCTCACCCTGGCTTCCCTTCTTTGCCCATATCCAGTCCCAATAGCAGCACCAAGACCCCGTACCTGCGAACCCAGAGTTCTTGGGCCGGGCCTTGTGCTGGGCTTTCAGAACATCTCGTGGAGAATCAGAGGGGGTCCCTGTTCTTTTTTAGTTTATTTATTTCTGCCTTCCATGAGCAACAGACAGAGAACTGGCGGCTCTAACAGGGCTTTACCCTGCAGTCCGTCCTCAGTCTCAGCCAGCCCTGGCTCGCGGGTGGGCATGCTTGGTGTTCATGCAGGTCTTTCCATCAGATCTGGGACCTCCCCGTGTGGTCAGCCTTGCAGGCTATCCCCTTTTTTATTTTAAACCTCTGGGCCACTCATCAACCCCAGAGAGGGTCCTATTCTTTATTTTGTATTAATTAATTTATTTTTAAAAGAATTAGTTTATTTAACTTTATTTACTTATAGAGACAGAGTGCACAGGAGAGAGATGGTATGTTAGAAAGCAAGCCGCCAGGTCCTCAGTAGGCCATGTGGGAGTCCAGTGCCCTTAACCACCACGCCACTTGCTGGTCCCTGTTTATTTATTTATTTCAGGTTTTTGCCATAGCTGGAGAGAGAGAGTACATGATTTTCAAGCCACCAGATCTGACATTCAAACCATGGCTGGATATGGGAGTCCACCGCCGTAACTACCAGTCACCTGCCAGCCCAGTGGTGGTCCTGTCCATAAAGCGCTCACAGCCTGACTCCAGCTCTCTTTTCCTGGCCTGTCTAAGTTTCCACTGCCCTTTCCCTCTCCTGGGAGCCAATTCCCTTTTCCATTTCCTGCCTTTCTTCTGAGAGTCCCCTGTGAGGGATGGTCTATTTGCTGGTACCAAACACAAGCTGTGCTCAGATGCAAGGAGAGAGGAGTATCTGAAAGAAAATCTCGGGACCAGCAGTTAGCATAATGGCTATGTCGCTGGACTCCCACATAGTCGACCGCAGCTCGAGTCCCGGACCCGGTGGCTTAAACTCACGCCGGGCGCGTGTGCGTGTGTGCCCAAGATCCCGAGAGGAGAATGGAGGAGAAGGGATTGCGGCGTGACCATCCCCCCTGGGGGGTGATTTCTCGCTTTTTATCTCTCTGTCTCTCTCTGTCTCTATGTACAAAATCTCCATGCCACCTGCCAGCCCCAACACTTAAATATTTCAGAAAGGCTTGACGATAAGGGTGTGAAAATGGGGGCCGGCAGGTGCCATGGTGGCTAAGGGTGCTGGGCTCCCACATGGCCAACTGTGGTTCGAGAACTGGACCTGGTGGCTTCCTTTCTCATTTTCTCCCTCTCTCTTGCTGTGTCCCTCTCTGGTCAAAATTAAAATCAGTAAGTCAATAAATAGGTCAATAAATAAAGTTAAAATAATTCTAAAAAAAAACAAACATGAAAATAAAGGCAGCGTATCAGTCAGTGAGGCACATCAAAGATGAAGCTCCTTCAGGCTGAGGCCTCACTTCTCTCTAGCTCGGGGGTCCTTCCTATGAGCAGCATCGCCATGGCACCCACCCCCGTGGGACCCATGCTTAGACCCCAGTTCCTCCGCCACTGGCCAGGGCCTGCCTTCTCACCCCGGCTTAGGAATGACTGTCACAGAAGGCGCTTTGCCTTTCCTCCCTGACCACAGGATAGGGTCGAGGCCTGGCTCTGCTGCTCCGAAAGGATAAAGCAGAACGTTTCAGAGTAGAAAAGGCACCTAGGGATTCTTTAAGGGCAGAAGCAGGAGAGAAGTGGGACTGGACACAACTCTGCAGCAGACCAGGCATCGCTTGGCAGACCAGTCCTCACAGCTAGTGTTTCTGGGGACACTGGACCCTAGTGGGAGACTTCCCCAGACACCCCGTTCTAGCAGCTGTCAGCCCAGCCCATGATCCCTGGGTGAGTCCTCCCTGGCTGCACTGGCAGGGGCAACATGGTGACTGACTTGAGGGAGCTGGCCAAGCTCCACGACCTGCCCAAGCTGCGTGCCCTGGTGCTGCTGGATAACCCCTGCACGGACGAGACCGACTACCGCCAGGAGGCCCTGGTGCAGATGGTGCACCTGGAACGCCTGGACAAAGAGTTCTATGAGCGGGCTGAGGCTGAAGAGATCCGCCAGAGGCTGAAGGAGGAGCAGGAACAGGATGGCGAGATGGAGCACGACCTGGAACCCATCCAGCCATTGCCTTAGCAGCTGTTCTAGCCTTGGAAGACAGTAGGGGCCAGGAGGAGGTGACCCAGGGGCTGGGCAGGGAGTCAGAGAGGGTCGCTGCAGGAGAGCCGGGTGGGGCAGGAACAGAGCAAAGAACCCTTGGCAAGACCAGGGTTGGGAGTTGGGGACTCTCAGGGTGAGGAGAATAGCCCAGAGGGGCCTGGCAGATGAGAAAAGGCCAGAACAGTGAGTAACAAGAATTGGAGTAGTGGGCCAGCCAGGTGGCATGGTGGTTAAGGTGACTGGATCCCACACAGCAGATTGCCTGGTTCAGATCCTGAACCCAGTGGCTGGAAAAACACACCAGGCATATGCATGGGTGTCCAAAATCCTGAGAGAAGAATGGAGGAGAAGAGATTGCAGCATGGCCATCCCCCGTTGGGGGTGATTTCTCACTTTCTCTGTCTTTCTGTGCCCTGTAACAAGGAAAACAATATTGGAGTAGAGGGAGAAGAGTCGGTGGGTCAGCGGTCCCTGACATAAAGTGATTATGGGAAAGGCCAGGTCTGGGTGCAAGGGGGCTGTGAGGAGGGAGGTGGTGGGGTGTGAGGAATGCAGCTGGCTGGGAAGAGGAAGATGCCGCACTAAAAATAACAGGTTAGGGGCGGGAGGAAGAAAGGAGGGCAGGCTGGGGAGAGGCGCCCAGGAAATGTGGTGGCTGGGCAGCAGATGGGGCACAAGCTTACTTGTGTCGTCTTATTTCAGATCACACTCCCTGGGCCGGATCTGAGCGGACTCCCGGAGCGCCGCATCCTCTCTACCCTCGCTGGGAGACAGAGCTGGGGATTCATCCCAGCCTGAGCAGTTACCTGAGCAGGGTGGGGTGCACCGTGAGGGCGCCGTGGGCCTGGAGCCTGGGCTGGTCGGCTCTCCGCAGGTCTGTGTAGGAGCCAGGCCTGGTGGGTGGCTGAGGGATGCTGGTAGTGTTGACGGGAGAGAACTACGGAGGCGGGCTGAGGTTCTAGGAGGAGCTCAATGTTCGAATAAAGAGCTATTTTCCTACTCTTGGGTCTGGCCGGGTTTGTGAGACACGGTCGCAGTGGGCTTCACTGGCAGCCTGGATCTCAGGACCCGGACCGCTGGTGCGTGGCTGTGCCTTCCAG